TTTGTTTTGGTTAATAGAAGGTGCTCCCAAATAGTCTAGGCGGTTAGGATACGTGGCTTTCACCCACGCGACCCGGGTTCGAGTCCCGGTTTGGAAATTTTGCTTTGCTTTTTCAATTCTTCGCTCCGCCATGTATATAGCGCTCGTTGTGCTTGCTGGTACGACGTTCGGATGACTGTATGGCCGGTGATGGAGAGTAGCTCGGCTTAGCACTCGCAGGGGCAACGACCAGCCGGAGGGTAAGCGTGGCGAGAACGGCGGTATCTAATTCAGGTTTAAAACAACAGCTCCTGCGTGGTAAAGATATTTGAAGGTGCTGGATGCAAAGTTGAAGGCGGCAATGCGCGTGGCCTTGGTGTGGTGCGCTTGGTTGTGTGTGAGTATGCGTGTGTTTGGCCTTTTGTTTGGCGTTTGTTTTGATTAATAGAAGGTGCTCCCAAATAGTCTAGGCGGTTAGGATACGTGGCTTTCACCCACGCGACCCGGGTTCAAGTCCCGGTTTGGGAATTTTGCTTTGCTTTTTCAATTCTTCGTTCCGCCATGTATATAGCGCTCGTTGTGCTTGCTGGTACGACGTTCGGATGACTGTATGGCCGGTAATGGAGAGTAGTTCGGCTTAGCACTCGCAGGGGCAACGACCAGCCGGAGGGTAAGCGTGACGAGAACGGCGGTACCTAATTCAGGTTCACAACAACAGCTCCTGCGTGGTAAAGGTCTTTGAAGGTGCTGGATGCAATGTTGAAGGCGGCAATGCGCGTGGCCTTGATGTGGTGCGCTTGGTTATGTGTGAGTATGCGTGTGTTTGGCCTTTTGTTTGGCGTTTGTTTTGGTTAATAGAAGGTGCTCCCAAATAGTCTAGGCGGTTAGGATACGTGGCTTTCACCCACGCGACCCGGGTTCGAGTCCCGGTTTGGGAATTTTGCTTTGCTTTTTCAATTCTTCGTTCCGCCATGTATATAGTGCTCGTTGTGCTTGCTGGTACGACGTTCGGATGACTGTATGGCCGGTAATGGAGAGTAGTTCGGCTTAGCACTCGCAGGGGCAACGACCAGCCGGAGGGTAAGCGTGGCGAGAACGGCGGTACCTAATTCAGGTTCACAACAACAGCTCCTGCGTGGTAAAGGTCTTTGAAGGTGCTGGATGCAATGTTGAAGGCGGCAATGCGCGTGGCCTTGATGTGGTGCGCTTGGTTGTGTGTGAGTATGCGTGTGTTTGGCCTTTTGTTTGGCGTTTGTTTTGGTTAATAGAAGGTGCTCCCAAATAGTCTAGGCGGTTAGGATACGTGGCTTTCACCCACGCGACCCGGGTTCGAGTCCCGGTTTGGGAATTTTGCTTTGCTTTTTCAATTCTTCGTTCCGCCATGTATATAGCGCTCGTTGTGCTTGCTGGTACGACGTTCGGATGACTGTATGGCCGGTAATGGAGAGTGGTTCGGCTTAGCACTCGCAGGGGCAACGACCAGCCGGAGGGTAAGCGTGACGAGAACGGCGGTACCTAATTCAGGTTCACAACAACAGCTCCTGCGTGGTAAAGGTCTTTGAAGGTGCTGGATGCAATGTTGAAGGCGGCAATGCGCGTGGCCTTGATGTGGTGCGCTTGGTTGTGTGTGAGTATGCGTGTGTTTGGCTTTTTGTTTGGCGTTTGTTTTGGTTAATAGAAGGTGCTCCCAAATAGTCTAGGCGGTTAGGATACGTGGCTTTCACCCACGCGACCCGGGTTCGAGCCCCGGTTTGGGAATTTTGCTTTGCTTTTTCAATTCTTCGTTCCGCCATGTATATAGTGCTCGTTGTGCTTGCTGGTACGACGTTCGGATGACTGTATGGCCGGTAATGGAGAGTAGTTCGGCTCAGCACTCGCAGGGGCAACGACCAGCCGGAGGGTAAGCGTGGCGAGAACGGCGGTACCTAATTCAGGTTCACAGCAACAGCTCCTGCGTGGTAAAGGTCTTTGAAGGTGCTGGATGCAATGTTGAAGGCGGCAATGCGCGTGGCCTTGATGTGGTGCGCTTGGTTATGTGTGAGTATGCGTGTGTTTGGCCTTTTGTTTGGCGTCTGTTTTGATTAATAGAAGGTGCTCCCAAATAGTCTAGGCGGTTAGGATACGTGGCTTTCACCCACGCGACCCGGGTTCGAGTCCCGGTTTGGGAATTTTGCTTTGCTTTTTCAATTCTTCGTTCCGCCATGTATATAGTGCTCGTTGTGCTTGCTGGTACGACGTTCGGATGACTGTATGGCCGGTAATGGAGAGTAGTTCGGCTTAGCACTCGCAGGGGCAACGACCAGCCGGAGCGTAAGCGTGGCGAGAACGGCGGTACCTAATTCAGGTTCACAACAACAGCTCCTGCGTGGTAAAGGTCTTTGAAGGTGCTGGATGCATGTTGAAGGCGGCAATGCGCGTGGTCTTGATGTGGTGCGCTTGGTTGTGTGTGAGTATACGTGTGTTTGCCCCTTTTGTTTGGCGTCTGTTTTGGGTAATAGAAGGTGCTCCCAAATAGTCTAGGCGGTTAGGATACGAGGCTTTCACCCACGCGACCCGGGTTCGAGTCCCGGTTTGGGAATTTTGCTTTGCTTTTTCAATTCTTCGTTCCGCCATGTATATAGCGCTCGTTGTGCTTGCTGGTACGACGTTCGGATGACTGTATGGCCGGTGATGGAGAGTGGTTCGGCTTAGCACTCGCAGGGGCAACGACCAACCGGAGGGTAAGCGTGGCGAGAACGGCGGTACCTAATTCAGGCTCACAACAACAGCTCCTGCGTGGTAAAGGTCTTTGAAGGTGCTGGATGCAATGTTGAAGGCGGCAATGCGCGTGGTCTTGATGTGGTGCGCTTGGTTGTGTGTGAGTATGCGTGTGTTTGGCCTTTTGTTTGGCGTTTGTTTTGGTTAATAGAAGGTGCTCCCAAATAGTCTAGGTGGTTAGGGTACGTGGCTTTCACCCACGCGACCCGGGTTCGAGTCCCGGTTT